AGGAAATGTGGACAAGTGGCTAGGATCCAAGGATTTGCCTTCCTCCTTTAAAGGCCGACACAAGGAGGAGAGGATATTAATACCCAAGGTCGAGCTCTAAGTAAGATGAATTAATTATGAAAGACAACTGACATGACCTGCATTAATTAGGAAGCGTCATTTCCCCTCGGACCGAGGGATAAAGTGACTTAACCCGGCCACTTGGTAATGTCCCATCTGTCTGGGGAGGGGATCTTTGATCCCGCGGGCAAGAGGAAGCTAACCCCTATTACCGATGGGCATTGACCAGTCGAAGGCATTAATCAGCCTTAAGGGCATGAGAAACCCCAATAGGCAATTACTAATGAACTCGAGCTTGCATGGGTATCATCACACACTACCTTTTCTTTTTTAATCTCTGATCCCGAGAGTCTTTTGTGTTGCTTGGATCCCCACTTAGATACTAATCTCAGCACTATTAGCTTACGTGGAACATAATCCTCATTTCATAAAGAATGACTATTAACAGTACACTGACATGGTCCTACCTAAAACCGTTAATTGTATCACTAGACTCAAAAACATGAATTCAAATTTAAATCTACCTACAATGTCACAGATATCTTTCCATCTCTCGTTCATAAAATCAATTTCAAATCTATAACTGAGGATTCTTTCCATTTCTAATCAATCATAATAATCCCTTTGGCTTTCCCACACAAAAAAACAAAACTCCTATAAGACCTAATTTTTTCTTGGGTCCTGGGTCCAGAATTGTTTAACTTTAGAACTTTTGCCGTTTATATTTTCTATAACTTTTATCTACGTGCAAGATATAAAAATCTGGAGAGTGGTTTGTGTAATTTGCCTTAAACTTAATTAAATAGCATTCTTGTTTTAATTATTTGATCTGTTGCTTTCAGAATTGCTCTCTGAATTCTACCACATGTACCATATTTTCATGAACTAAAAGCTCTAAATAATTATGGTAAGTTGTTGGAGGTTTTTTTGATTGGTTTTAGTCTTGTTTGTGCAACAATTTGGTTATCAATGTCCAAATACCTTCTAACCTAACAAGTTGTTGAATTTTATTTCTTTACCCTTAATTTTATCCTGTAAACTAGACAGAGGGGGGAGAAAGAGAAGGAAAATTGAGGAGAAAATGTAATATTTTTAAATTGGAGGAAAGATTGAAGATAAAAAATTTAAAATGCAATGATGGTCTACTGTTAAAAATCAGCTTCTTGTCTTTTCGCAGTTGGTTTGGTCTTTTCGTAATAAACACAAGACGACGGAAATTTAAAATGCAATGAAGGTCTACTGTTAAAAGTTAGCGTCTTTTCGCAGTTTGTCTGGTCTTTTCGCAATAACGCAAGATGACGAAAATTTAAAATGCAATTGATGGTCTACTGTTAAAAGTCAGTAGTTGGTCTGGCTTTTTCGTAGTGGTCGCTAGTTGGGTTCGCAGTTAGTCTAATCTTTTTGCAATAAAGGTGATCAGCAGTAGATCCTCGCCAGCTGGTTTCGTAGTTAGTCTAATCTTTTTGCAATAAAGGTCATTAGCAGCAGATCCTCGCCAGCTGGGTTATCTGTTATATTGTTGGTCACGTGCATTCCTCTTTCTATATTTATGACCGAGTTTTGAAAACAAGTTATATAGTTCCTTTCTCTCTCTGTATGATAAAAATTACTAGTAATAATAGTCGTATATATATATATATATAGAGAGAAATATATATAGAAGTAACATAGTATATAAAAGTACCATATGGTTCATATCTATCTTAATATCTTTCTTTTTTACCGTTTATTTGCAAGATTGAGAAGAGACTGAGCTTCAGTTTTCTACCGTGGAAAATGTTTGTAGGAAGTTCATTATTCTTTCTCTAATCTCAGAGTGTGAGTTTCTTGCCCCTGGGATCTCTGACCACAGTCTTATACTTGTTACTATGGATTTCAACATCCTAAGGAAATGTATCCCTTTCAAGTACTTCAATGCATGGAGCACACACTCATCTTTCTTACCTGCTGTACATGGGGTCTGGTGCAATTTCATAAAGGGCACTGCCATGTACCAAGTGTTACAGAAATTAAAGATGTTGAAACCAATCCTTAGAGCTTCCTGTGAGAAAGACTTTTCAGAGATTGACACTAAGATGAAGGCAGTCAAGCTAGAGTTGGACTCCTGTCAAGTTGATTTGGATCTTTTACCAAATGACACTAACCTCAGACAAATGGAGAAAACCCTTACTTCTAAGTATTTAAGGCTAAGCAAAATCCAAGAGGATATCATGAGACAGAAATCAAGGATGTTATAGTTGAAACTAGGTGACTGCAACTCAACTTTCTTCCACAAATCCATCTCATCCAGAAATAATAGGAAGAAGATTGTTTCACTCTCACTCGACTCTGGGGAGGTACTAAAGGACATTGAAGCCATCGAACTTGGAGTTGTGGAGCACTTCACAAAGCTGCTAGGTCATTCCCCTCCATCCACTCACCACATTTTAGACGTGTTTCCCTTCATCACTAAGCAAATTCCACTGGAACTCTACAGTTACCTTGAGGAGAATCCATCAAATGTGGACATTGAAACTGCATACTGAGGCTCAACCCTGATAAAGCACCTGGTCCAGATGGCTATAACGCTCATTTTTTCCAACAAACATAGCATATTGTAAGAAGAACTATCGCATACGCAATATCTGAGTTCTTCAGGAATGGGAAAATCTTGTCTGAGATTAATAATACTTACATTTCTCTGGTGCCTAAATATAAAAATCCAGCTTTTCTCCATGACTATAGGCCTATCTCCTATGTCAACACTGTATATAAGTGCATTGCAAAAATCCTAGCAACCAAACTTCAATCCACATTGCACTACATCATTGATCCCTCACAATTAGCCTTCATTCAAGGAAGAAAACTCACTGATCCCATCCTTTTAGCTCATGAGCTTCTCAAGGGATACCATAAAGATAGTGTACCAGACAGATGTGCCATCAAAATAGATTTGAGGGAAGCTTTTGATTCTGTCAATTGGGACTTTGCACTCAACTGCCTAACTCTCCTCAATTACCCTCACAAATTCATCTATTTAATCAAAGCTTGCATCACATCCCCCTCTTTTACAGTTGCACTCAATGGGGAATTCTAAGGCTATTTCAAAATAGCAAGTCAAAGTATTTTGAAGAGTTTTTGAGTCTGCATTTGCCTACTACTTTGATTTCATGTCGTAATTTCAGTTTAGCTCCATTTCAACTCGTTACAGGAACTCTTGCACTCTTGATTCTAACTTAATTTGTGGAATATTTTGTGTTATTTACCGATTTATCTGTTAATTTATGTAATTTTGGATTTCACTTGAAGTTCTGATTACTTTTTCTAAATGCCTCTTTCTTCTGATATATGCTTCCTACTCTTTTAACATGCATGTTTGGTTGTTTATGTTTGATGATCTGTTTTGAGCCCATTAATGGATTTTTCCAAATGTAAGTTCTTTTTCTTTTAATTTTCAATTTTTCTTCTTCTTCTTTTCTTTTTTTTTTTTTTTTTTTTTTTTTTTTAAGGTTCTGGGTTGAGGTTGGGTTAGTTATTTTTGTGGTTCTTGAAAGATTCCTATTATTTCTTTTCAACATAATGAGGATTATTAGAGATATCACCACAAGTAAATTCTTTGTCCATTGTTGATTTCTGTAAGACTCTCCAATTGTTATTGTTCCATCTTATTTGTTATACAGATTTACACTTTTGAGTGGGAACATAGAAAATGAACTAGATAAAACAAGCAAGACCATAGAATAGATCATGACATGTGGATTTTAATCTTGAATTAGAGATGTCCACTGAGATGGAGGGTAAATATATCAATTTTTGCAGCAAATCATTCTAAGAGTAGCAACCATAGCGAGCAGTAGAATGATTTGCTATTTTTTGGGAGATGAATTTAATATTTTTTTATTTTTTATTTCTCGGTGTTAGTTGTCTGAATTTTTAATTTTTTTTCTTTCTTTTGTACAGGAGGAAATAATCGATCCTAGCTTGGATTATTAGAACAAGTTTTGTCGTTGATTAGTTTGATTTCGTTTTTAAGGTAATTTCTTTCTTTCTTTTTTTGTGTTCCAACATTGAGTCTAAAGCATTTTCTGTTGATTAAAGCTATGGTCATAATCATACTTGCCTCTTATTATGAATTCATTAAAGCTAATAAAAACTTATTTGCTCATTTGTTAGTGTCAATAGTCCTTAACTTTGCCATTTTAAATCTATTATTACTTACCAAATATATATATAATAAGTCTATAAATTAGTGGGTTCAGCCGCAAAAACTGAGAAGGGGAAAAAAAAAGAACACAAAGTTTATGCAGGTTTTGGAAGAAAATTATACTGTTACTTAGTTCAGGTGAGAGTTTTTGGGAATGTTAAGGACATCTGAGCCAAATGGTAAAACCTAACTATTTCAATACTAAGCATCCAATAAAAGGCTGAAAAGTACAAATAAAAATTTAAAAAAAAAAAACAAAAAAAAAAAAACAAAATTTGGTTGGCTTCTTACAAGTACAGACAGCATGAAAAAAATAAGAAAAGTAAAAATCTGATCAAAATGTGACAGAAAGACGCAACAAAGCTCCCCAATATAATGTCAACTAACTCTTTCACGAATCATCCCAACCATCGTCGAAGAAGAGACGAGGCCCGACACGATGCAAGAACGTCGTAAACGCGACAACCTTATTACCATTAAGGTACATATATATATAGATCATCTTATATAGTTTACATAATTAAACTATATTCACCATGAAGGAGAAAAAATGATTTCTATCTTTATTTTTGTACTAAACATCTACAATTGTTAATTTTTGTTTAGGGTTAATAAGTATGGACAGCTGATCGGCCTTAGAAGTGGTACATATACTAATTATTTGGGAACACTTGCCCGGAATGGTAAATTAGCTTCTTTGTGCTACAAAACTTGGTGGGAGATACCCAAACGGCTTAAAGAGGATATGTAGAACATTGTAAAGGTAAAACCCTTCAATGACATTAAAATAATTTTTATGAAAAAAGTGGATTAACATGCAGCAATTATCACATTTTCAGGGAAAGTTTGATGTGGGAATCATGTCAAAACAGTGGACATTATCCTCCATCGGAAAAAAATGGAAGGGGTACAAGTGTGAATTAAAAAGTGAATATTACTCGGTTAGGGAGACAGATACAGAAAGATTGGCAAATCCACTACCTAATGTTGAAAAGGAGCATTGGGCATTTTTGGTTAGGCATTGGGGTACGCCTATGGCGAAGGTAATCCTCCATCTATTAATTTTGTTTAAAGTCAATGAGTTGAATTTATAGTTTACCTACTTTCAGTCATTATTTTAGGTGGAATGTTCTTTACTCAAAGAACGTTTACTTTTTCTCACTTTTTGTAGGAGGTCAACGAAAAAAACAAAGAACGTCGTGGGAAGCAGACAATGATGCATATTATAGGGACAAAAAGCTTTGCACGTGATTTTGCTAAGGTTAGTTGACGTTTTGTCAATATAAATTATTTTAATTCTTATGTCGTTGAATGATTATAAATGTTAGTGGTAAATAATATAAATCATAATGTCTGTGTTTCTTTTATAGATTGAGGAAAACGAAGGTATTCAGCTTTCTCGTGCAGATTTATTCATTCGCACACATATAAATGAGGATGGCAATGCTACTGATGCTGCTGCTTCGGAGATGATTGTAAGTTTTCATGTTTCCATTTTGCAAAAAGGGGGTCACGTGCCTTGAAGTGACCAATTTTTAAACTCTTTGCGGTGTATTAGGGGGTCACATGTCTTGAAGTAACCAATTTTTAAATCAGCGGCGCGTGTGGAGGCATTTTAATTTCATTGTTTATCATCAGCCCGTGTGGAGGCAATTTACTTTCTTGTATTTGTTAAAAAGCATGGGAGTGTGGGATCATTGTGTGATACCCCTCGATTCTAGAGCCACGGGTGATCAAGTCCGAGCACAGAATACAAGGGATATCAAACAATTAATATCTAAACAAGCATTGGAATACAAGATGAATTAAAAATAAACAGATAAGCTAAAAGGAAAACTAAATAATAAATTCTTATTTAAAAATCCTCAAATAAATAATGATTAAAATTCCATAATAAAATCCTCCAATCTTCTGATACCAGTAATTAATTAAACTACAACTCGGGAATCCATACTGTGGACCCCTAATAATATCCTAACTGACATAACTGAATCGAAAAAAATAATAAGTTACTAATGAAGAAGAGTCCTACGTAGAGTCGGAAGAATGAATGGCTGTCTCTGCTCGGCACGAACAATCTCTAAGACTGGAACTGACGAACACCTGAAAAATAATGGTGGGTCAGGCCCACATACAAGTTCTAATCTACTACATCCCAAACAGAGACCCGATACACGTACACATCCTAATTAATTCAACAATAACTAAATAGTCCATATATAGATATATACACACACTAAAGGAACCTCACTAGACTATAGAGTTGTCTCAACCTGAATAGTAGGCAACATGCAAAACGCACATATAGTGGGCATGAGTACCTAGACCTACCAGGGTACACAACTACGCTATATCTAGTTACACATCCCTGGTAATATACGCACCCTAACCACTGATCCTGAGACTCAAGCTCATATCATGGTGTATAATTATATATTTAAAATCCGTCCTATCCAACCATCAAAAATAAACTATCCAATTATTATTTCAATACTATGTCATCCAACTATTCCGTTGACCTGACACGAATAAGTAGGACTTAACACTATGGTTAATCCGTTCCCTTATTAAAAATAGGTAGGACTTAACTCGTAAGTTAATCCGTCCCTAATATGCCCCCATCCCATAATGGAGCATTAATCCATAACATATCCAAATAACAGTTTCCAATCCAAGGATAATGTAAATATATATATATTTTTACATCTAATAAACCAAATAAATATGATATAAATCTTATACACGTCCTTTGCATTTATTTCAGCAAAAATATTAATTCTAATTTGCATGCATTTAATTTACATCACAAGAATTTAACATGCATCTCAATTAAATTGTACATCCCCATGTATTCATTAAATTAATTTAAATCTAAACAATTGATTAAACTAATTTAATCCAACAATATTTAATTAATTTATCCTTTCTAAAATTAATTAAATTCCATACTTAGCATGTACACTTAAAACATGCATTCCAACTCTTAATGAATCTAATTAAATTAAATAAATATTTAATTCAGATTCATCAATCAAAAATATATTAATTTAATATTATAACATTAATAAATATATATATATATATATATATATATATATATATATATATATATATATATAAACTGTTTAAATGCATAACTAATTATTATTATTATTTTCCATGAATACAAGATTTACCTAACCAAAAATTAAATTTCAATTAAAATTAACAAGCTAATGCATTATTAAAAGAAAACGAAATTTAAATTTACAAAGCAAACTCACGCGTCATTTAGAGGAGAACGAAATTTACACTAGAAAGCACACTGATGCATCATTATAAGAGAAGGAAATTTAAATTAGAAAAGTAAACTGCTGCATCATTATTTAAAGCCTTTGACTTCATATCCCTTCCTTCTCGTTCGGCGTGCTTAGTTTATGCAAAACGAATTCTATTTGTGGTAACAAACTAATTCATTCTTTTAAGCCATTATTCATGCAAACAAATTCATGTTTTAAAAAAAATACTAATAATGACACCACCAACAAACCATACCCAGTTCCGTAAAGAGTTAAATTCATCACAAATTCATTACTAAAACACACGAACTGTAGCTTCCAAAGTAATCTAATCAATTTATTTAAAGAATCTAGAATTAATCGAGCATGCATAGGGTACGAATCAAAGGAGAAGAGTTAGAAAAGAACTTGCCTTTAGGGATTAGATAAAAACCCTAACCTCCTTCTTCCTTTTCTCTTCCTTCCTCTTCCTTCTTTCTCTCTCTAAAATATAGTACGTAATATATTTTCTAACCTCTTTCACAACCCTATAATTATATATTTATAGTCAAATAAAATAACACTAATCCTTTTCCCAATCCAAGCCAAACTAATAATAAAAATAAAATAAAATCTAAATACTAAAAAGGTAACTAAAATATATGGTACGTATAATCTATGTGTAATCCTTTTTTAATTAAACTACAACTCGGGAATCCATACTGTGGACCCCTAATAATATCCTAACTGACATAACTGAATCGAAAAAAATAATAAGTTACTAATGAAGAAGAGTCCTACGTAGAGTCGGAAGAATGAATGGCTGTCTCTGCTTGGCACGAACAATCTCTAAGACTGAAACTGACGAACACCTGAAAAATAATGGTGGGTCAGGCCCACATACAAGTTCTAATCTACTACATCCCAAACAGAGACCCGATACACGTACACATCCTAATTAATTCAACAATAACTAAATAGTCCATATATAGATATATACACACACTAAAGGAACCTCACTAGACTATAGAGTTGTCTCAACCTGAATAGTAGGCAACATGCAAAACGCACATATAGTGGGCATGAGTACCTAGACCTACCAGGGTACACAACTACGCTATATCTAGCTACACATCCCTGGCAATATACGCACCCTAACCACTGATCCTGAGACTCAAGCTCATATCATGGTGTATAATTATATATTTAAAATCCGTCCTATCCAACCATCAAAAATAAACTATCCAATTATTATTTCAATACTATGTCATCCAACTATTCCGTTGACCTGACACGAATAAGTAGGACTTAACACTATGGTTAATCCGTTCCCTTATTAAAAATAGGTAGGACTTAACTCGTAAGTTAATCCGTCCCTAATATGCCCCCATCCCATAATGGAGCATTAATCCATAACATATCCAAATAACAGTTTCCAATCCAAGGATAATGTAAATATATATATATTTTTACATCTAATAAACCAAATAAATATGATATAAATCTTATACACGTCCTTTGTATTTATTTCAGCAAAAATATTAATTCTAATTTGCATGCATTTAATTTACATCACAAGAATTTAACATGCATCTCAATTAAATTGTACATCCCCATGTATTCATTAAATTAATTTAAATCTAAACAATTGATTAAACTAATTTAATCCAACAATATTTAATTAATTTATCCTTTCTAAAATTAATTAAATTCCATACTTAGCATGTACACTTAAAACATGCATTCCAACTCTTAATGAATCTAATTAAATTAAATAAATATTTAATTCAGATTCATCAATCAAAAATATATTAATTTAATATTATAACATTAATAAATATATATATATATATATATATATATATATATATATATATATATATATATATATATTTAAAAACTGTTTAAATGCATAACTAATTATTATTATTATTTTCCATGAATACAAGATTTACCTAACCAAAAATTAAATTTCAATTAAAATTAACAAGCTAATGCATTATTAAAAGAAAACGAAATTTAAATTTACAAAGCAAACTCACGCGTCATTTAGAGGAGAACGAAATTTACACTAGAAAGTACACTGATGCATCATTATAAGAGAAGGAAATTTAAATTAGAAAAGTAAACTGCTGCATCATTATTTAAAGCCTTTGACTTCATATCCCTTCCTTCTCGTTCGGCGTGCTTAGTTTATGCAAAACGAATTCTATTTGTGGTAACAAACTGATTCATTCTTTTAAGCCATTATTCATGCAAACAAATTCATGTTTTAAAAAAAATACTAATAATGACACCACCAACAAACCATACCCAGTTCCGTAAAGAGTTAAATTCATCACAAATTCATTACTAAAACACATGAACTGTAGCTTCCAAAGTAATCTAATCAATTTATTTAAAGAATCTAGAATTAATCGAGCATGCATAGGGTACGAATCAAAGGAGAAGAGTTAGAAAAGAACTTGCCTTTAGGGATTAGATAAAAACCCTAACCTCCTTCTTCCTTTTCTCTTCCTTCCTCTTCCTTCTTTCTCTCTCTAAAATATAGTACGTAATATATTTTCTAACCTCTTTCACAACCCTATAATTATATATTTATAGTCAAATAAAATAACACTAATCCTTTTCCCAATCCAAGCCAAACTAATAATAAAAATAAAATAAAATCTAAATACTAAAAAGGTAACTAAAATATATGGTACGTATAATCTATGTGTAATCCTTTTTATATGTAATATATAAATATATATGACTTTCCTTATATATATATATATATATTTAAATTCCTAAATAAATACACATCATCACACACAATTTCATTTAAACAATTAAATCAATTAACACATTTAACAAATAATTAAATCAATTAAACAAGTAAACAATTAGCCAAGAAATCAACTAAATAATTAAATGCAATTAAGATAATTTTTTTTTTAAAAAAAATACCGAGACTATCCTTTTAAAATCAGGGGTATTACACATTGTATGTGGAGGCTTCTTGTTGATTGATTTGAGTTGTGGAGTAGAAGTATTTGTATTTGTTGTTTGTTGTTTGTGTTAATTTCTTACTCATACCAGTGCAATGGTCTTTTGAATGTAGGCAACTTCAAATAGTAGGATTATGGCTTTGTTAAGTTAAGCTGAATAAGAGTTTTTGGTTATGAAATATATTCTTATGTTTCGCACAAAAGAGGCAGTTATTATTCACATATGGCTTTCTCCACTTCCCATTCAATTGTTATGTGTGTCTACAAACCCAATAT